GTGAAGAGTGAATATCGGAATATGTGATTCGATGAAGCCCAGGAGTAGCAGCGCGGGCGGTGGCGGCTGCTGGCGCGAGGGTTGCATTACCATTTTGGCCGTCGGCCAAACCCAGTCTCCGAACTCCGGGAATCTCCGATAAAAGATAAGCCCTCACCTCCTGCTCGCGGTTAAATTCAGACGGCACACCCGGTAGATAAACATACCCGGGGGAAGCCAGACCTACACCGACCCACTACCACCCGCCGATTTCTCCCCGGCTGCTGGGGCCACATCGGGGATTTCCGTAGATTTACAAGCCGAAATTTCCTTATCGCAATCAACCGGCTATATGTTTCTTCTGGCGGTCCTAAGAAACGAAATCGAAAGGAAGGGAGTTATTAATCTTGCGGTAATATCCGTAGAACTCCGCCGAGAGTATTTTCTCTTTTCCCTCCCCGAACGTACATAGTATAATTCGTGCGCGTTAAAAGTACTGTTCAGTGAAATCAGAACCCCGTGAAGAAACTTAAATTAAAACTTTCTTGTGAAATAATATATTGAAGTACTTCCGAAATGTATTAAAGTTCATATAATAGAATTAATTTACTTTAAAACGGACATGAAACAGTTATTAAATCTATTCACAAAAGTTATTAAATAAATCAACATTTTTTTGTATGATTTTCTTAAGTGATTATTAAGTTTTATCATTAATGTATTTCTATGATGATTGTTTTTTTCTCAAGGATTTAAATTATTAACATTTTGCTAGCCTACTATAATGATATGTGTGTCTACTATATAATATTCAACACTTATTATTTTTCAATAAAATCTCGTAAAAATTTTATGGAGCTCCTGTAGCAGATAAATCGGAACAAATTTACATTGTCACATTGAAATAATTCTTTTTTGTAGGCAAAATTTCGTTGATTCTTTTCCTAATGAGACAACGATAGCACAGAACTTTTTGTACATTCAATCAATATCTATCAAAAATATCCGGATTATTTATAAGATTATGATTAACGAAATGATGAAATTCGCATACGAAGAAGCGTAAATAAGCACGATGTTGATTATGGAGTGTGTAAATAAATGATTGACTTTGCTGATATCAGCAATGATGATAAACATTCTCGAAATTTAATATAATGAATAAACAAAATAATCGTAAATTATGTAAATAATCAAACGTATCTACATAAGAGTATCTCAAAATTATAAAATGTATTTGTTCGATTAATTTATTCATATTATATAGATATTAATGATACACATATTATTAATGAGCAAATAAAATTTCAATATTTAAACTAAAAAATAAAAATTAGATTAAAAGTTGGAAAGCTTTATAGATTATAATATGTCAAAACTAGTAAAAACAATAAAAGTTTATAAATACTTACATATGTATGTATAAATATACATACATATTTTTTACTTTAAAAATAAGATATCTAAAGATAAATATTTATTTTTATTTTATTTTAATAAATTTATATAAAAGGAAGATAAAATCGATAGACTAGTCTAATCTTTGCACACATAGATTAATATACATATAACAATTTCTTTAAACTGTATATATTTTCTCTACATATATAATATTAATGCAAAATTGAATCTCGGAATAGCTAAACGTTGGTAAACGTAGATAATGGAAAGACAAAGATCTGAGAGAGTAGTATGAAGGGGTAACGTGGAAGGCTAACTGTCCATGAATACTACAACTGCGTTGAAACGTAACTACTGACGCAGGCAACAACTAAACTAAATCTGAACTACTGAACGTTATAATTTAAACATTATAATTTAAATTAAATATTTAGATGGATTCAGGAAAATAATCATATATTACAGAATATATTACATATTACAATTGTGAGAACCTATTAGTCTAATTCTTTAATACAATATTTAATAAAAAGTGCGAGATATGAAAAATAGCGTTAAAGAAGAATTTATTGCTGAAAGATATGCTTAATTATGTGATATAAAAATATAATAAGATAAATTTGCTGAAAGATATGCTTAATTATGTGAAATAAAAATATAATAAGATAAATAAAATAAATTTCTTTGAAAAAGTTTCTTCCAAAGCATCTAGAAATTTAATATGATTAAACAACCTCTCTCTCGAATCTTCTTCATTACATTTAAAAACGTTAATAGCTTTCTTCTTGCATCTTCAGTTAATATTTTTTACTATTTTAAATACTTTTTATAAACGTGAACTTTTATGATATTTGATATTACACTACATGAGCGTGAATACGTATATTGCAACGTGTTGTATTGTGAATCACTTCAGTGAGCTGTAACGTCAGAAAGATAGCATTGCTTTTTCCAGAAGATACAAAAAGACGAATGTTGTTACATCGTCAGTCACGTAGATCTGTAAGCTGATATCAAACGATGGATCTGAACAGAACCGCGACAGACATCGAATGCCACATGACCCTTTTATCAGCATTCCAATTGTTATAAGTTTCGTTCGTTGGATTTAAAAATAGTAATAGAATTTTTGTTACATTTCTGGAGCTGATATATCTTTCTCTTTTCTAGGAGTTTTTTTTAAGCGTGATATCTAAAGAACTTTTATAATATAGAGGACTATAAAATATTACTAGCCTTTACTATTACTATAAGTTCGTTGAAAATAGTAAAAACTTTGAAGCATTTAAAAAGCATTTTAAAAATAATCATTTTTAATATATATTATGTTAAAATGCGTTACATAAAAGATTCTTGAATATCGCAAATCAGAAAGCATATAAAAAAAAATTAATAAAAATTAAATTAGTGAAAAGCTAAAAATTATAAATTTTTTCATTGTACGTTGAAATATTTTTAGGATAATAATTTCAAAATTGCATTTAATCATTCATAAAATTAAAAAAAAAATTATGAATAATTTAACATATCTAAAGTTAAGAAAATTTCTAATTTATTATAAATATTTGCCTAAATCGGGTAGCTTATAAATGTTAATAATTCATCAACAGAAGAAATCGGGGCAACATAGGGTAAGTCAGCATATTCACGGGATACTCCCTGATTATTATTTCTTGGCTCAACCCGAAAGACTTCCTATTACAAGGAAGCTGGATAAAGTATACCATATTCTTAAATTTAAATAAGTGTTATGCTTCAATAATGGAAATTTCGCTTAAACTTACGGAAACTTTTCGTGTTCTTCAGAGGGAACTGGCACCATTTGAGATTCGTAACGAGCCTTGGCAGCAGAATTGCGGTGATCACAATGCAAAAGCGAAATCGTACGAGAAAAGTCCCTTTATCAAAGCTATATAGAAGGCGTTTCAGCACATTAAGGTGACCCGCGTATGGTATTATCACTTTCAATTTATTCTCCTTTCCTCTTTTCAACGATTTCGCAAGCGCGATGTGAAGTCGAATCACCGCTGTCTGCCGTAATGGTAGATAATAAATGGCAAATGTCACTGGTAGAACTTGAAAGATAGATGTAATGGATTTATTTTCAATAAGATCAATTCCCAAATCTTTATCTCATTCTTAATTTCCTTTTCTTTCTTTTAAAATTTTAAGTAACGTGTATATGAGGTAATATAATCCTCTTGTTTCTATAAACTTTCGAAATGTCAATATTTCTACAATTTGTTTCTACACTTTCTGTCCATATTTTTACAAAAGTCAATATTTCTATAATTCTGAAAAAATATGCGCGGTTCACATAACGTTAATGCAAGTAATAAAACAAAAAGTAATTTTCTTATGGATTTCAAATACATTTTATATCACTTTGACAAATATACATAAATTATCATTGTATGATTGTAGTTACTCATTGCTTAAATAATAGTAACCAATGAAATGTCATATTATTTTTTTAACAGAACACTTTTCAGTTATTTATAAATGTTATGCTTGAAGGAGAAAATTTTCCTTTCATTCTGTTTTCCAAAACTGTGAAATCTATTCTATAAAATTTCAACATCTTACCAGATTAATGCAATCGCCTGATTTAAATATCTTTTTAATCTTTAAAAAAGCTCTCTAAAAAAAACAAAATAAGAAATAAATTTCATCTTCCGATATCCAATTATACAAAAATAAGCAATTATATAAAAGATATTCTTCTAAAAAAAAAGAATAGTATAATATTGCACTATAACAGTTGGTATTCCATTAAAACACAACTCTATCCAACAAGAATAGAATCTGTATGAAAGACAAATGATACGTCATTTTCTTATTAATAAATAAGACAACTAGATAATACTAACATTGGTCAAATATTCATATTATTCTGTTTATCTGCCGTATATTAACTCTGCATTTATTTCTTAAGACAGATACAAATTTGTTGCATATTCACATCGTATCCATTGTTGAATATCAATTAATGATATGAAACAGCATGATATTGTATTTCTATCTACGTTGATGTGAACAATATACAACAATATATCCGCTGTATTAATAACATCTAATTATCGCGTAATATAGATTTGATGTTTGTATATACACTGATGATCTATTATTCCATTAGAATGTCTATTTCGCAAGATTTATTTGGCTAAAAATATACCGCAAACAATCGACAAAGAGACGATTCACAGAACATGCCAGACAAAACGAGTGACGTCGCGACTCATTTAAATGATAAGTAAAATCTATATTAATCTTGTATTTATTATTTACTGTCAATATTTAAATATTGAGTAATATAAATTTAATATTGTAATCCGTTCTAATGTATATTTCACAATACTTGTTCAACCGAGTGTCTATCGAGCGAATAATTGACAAAGCAACGACTATATTTTCAGATATCCATTGAAAATCTTATCTTGAATATTTAATTTGTTTGTATTAAGCGAAATAATGACGATCGTAAAAGGCGAACGTATACTATCTATTATTCAAAATATAAAAATGTTTGTACATCGTGCCGCCGAACGCCGCGTCACTTGACGCGTGAAGTTAACCGCATGAGAAATTAATCCCTACCACCTCCCCCCTCCCCGTCTCACTACTTCACGTATCGTTCGCAAATCGCAAAACGCGATCAAACGCGACAGGTGTCAGACGGACCAGCTGCAGAAGGGCGACGATTCGATCAAATGGTAATTGAAACGTTGAAATATTAATCCTAGCATAGTTAAAAGATTCGGTATTCGCGACGTTAACAGCGGGGACGCACAGCGTTGCCGATCCGCCGCGTCGTTGCGTCGTTGTTGGCACGCGAAGGTAACCGCGCGCGGGAGACGCGCGCGAAAGCCCCCCGCCATCTTGATTACACGGTTATACTTTATGTTGCAGATCGCGGCGGACACGGAACGGGCCGGCTCCGACACGAGTGATGGCACGGCTCGATCAAACGATAATTGAAACATAATTGCGATGGTAACTACTACGTAGCTTGAACAGGTTCGGTATTCGCGAAGCCAAGAACGTGACGCCAAGAACGTGACGCCATCGAGCTGTCGCGTCGTTGCATCGTTTTTGGCACGTAAAGGTAATCGCGCGCAGGAGATGATAAGCCTTCTCGCCTTGGCGTACATAGAACGGACAGGCCCCGAGACAAGTGGCAGCACGACTAGATCAAACGGTAATTAAAATATTACGATATTAATTGTCATAGCTATAATAGATTTTTGGTATTTGTGTCGTCAAACCGCCGCGTCGTTCTTGACGACAAAGATAAGGTATACATGATAGCATAAGTATAATATGTATAGGCATAAGTATAATAGCATAAGTATAATACAGCGTATAGTATATTATAGCATAAGTATAAATAGTTTAATATTATAATAGCATAATATACATTAATATATTGTATAATAAATAAACGATTTTTAATATAATTTAACATTAAAAAATTTTAAAAATATGTAATTAAATATTTATAATATAATTAATATTAGCAGAATATATGTATAAATAAAAAATATTTAATATATTTATATATTATTTTTATATGTTACAGATTATTTGTATGTGTTACAGAGTATTATAAACTCTTTTGCACATCATGATGCCTAAAATAAAACCTTGGAAAGAGTTTTAACTTATGAGAAAATGGAGGAGAAGATGATCTGAGAGGAGGAGGAGGCTAGGAGACGCATCAGGCACTGGTAGAGCAACTTTGCGGTAAATATTATTGCTTACTTTCATATAATTATTCGGTTTTTCCTATTTATTCGGATTAAAAGAAACAAATAACCTAAATTCTCATAAACGTTTATTCTTATAAAAATCTCTTTTGTGAAAAACATATAATTATTTTTAAAAATTTGAATTGAGAGACGATTAAAAAGTTTCTTTTGTAAAAATTGCTTTTTAATTTTTAAATTAATGATTAGTTTGAACGCTATTTTAATTGGATCCTTTATTGTATGTTATAGAATCATCGTAGCTACGTGGCTGATAACTCTACTGTTGTGCATCGGTCGGTGAGTGACAAGAAGCTTTATTATTGAGGCAACGAATCTATGAAACATTAGGATATATAGTACTGATATCATTATATAATGATATTAGAAATAAATATAAAATTTCACGGATCCATTACTTTGAAATAGACAAGCTATAAAAGATTAATTACAACAAATACTTAGTCTTGAAATCGTCTTTTGTTCTTTGTTAATTTCATGTACTATTAAAATAAAAATCAGAATTTTAGTGTCTGAACTAATACTTTCCTAAAATTTATTACAAATAAGTAAATATTCAAATTCAAAAAATTCAAAGTAAGCTTTCTTTTTTCTTACAAACAATAATAAAAAATTCTTATATTTGAAGTTGCATCTTAATAAAAATAATTCTATCAATAAAAAGTTCTTGAAACATCACCGATTCGAATTGATAGTTCTCTTCCTCGTAAATGTAACGGATCAATGAAAATTATATTAAATAATTTCATATCAGCATCAGTATATTATATTAAAAATAAATGTAAAACTTCATAACTTCGTTGCCTCAAAATGAATGGCATATAAAGGGTTATGGTAAATATTTAATCTTGAACAATATTTTTATTATATATTAACATTGTTTACATGTAATTATAAAAACTGGAACAAAAAAAGTCAATGCCTGTAAAAATTAGATCTCAATTAAATTTCGACCCTTGTTTAGTTTAGAATTCCCATTAATATATAGGATTTGTCATAGGTCCGTTGTACTCGTGTGATTGTTTAATCGATTTAGAAATAAAAATGCAAGTAGGCAGGGATACTTATTATAATTTACACGGGTAGGTAGGAATACTATCAGAGGATAAGGGAATTATAATTCAAAAATTGAAAAGATATAGTTAACATAAAAATAGATACAACAAGAAATGTAGGAAATAATATTTTCATAAAGGGATTTTATAGGAGAATAAAAGGGATATAGCAGGAATATTTTTATAAAATATGCAAACAAAATATTATATTTTATTGTTGCATTCTAAACAATATATTGAAACATAATTTAATTTATAAAATATTATCTTTAAATAAGCAAACAAAGCTATATTCGGTTAAAGCGAATCTTTACATCTAATAATATTTTTATATAAATTTTACAATTTCTAATTCAAGCAAACATTACACTGATTACTTGTCGGTCTTGAAACAAAGTCCTAAAATTAAAGTACACAATAGTTGCTTTTCATTTGCACACAAGTGAAACTGAGTCTGAAGTGAGCTGAGTATTTCATACTCAGATTAATGATTCATTATTTGCTCAATTTGATAAAAAGTTATCACATGACAACACAGGTTTGAACCTCACTTTTAAAGTGAGTTTACGAGATTCACTCATTGTTCACTTAATTCATTTAAAGTACATGGTCTCGATCTTGTGTAGATTATAGGCAAAAACTTAATTAAATCTTACTTGTCAGAATGTAAAAGGAACGCGCATTCAACTGAGTTATGACGTCACAAGTGAGAATTATCTGAGAATCGGTGTAAATGGAAAGCAACTAATATCACTAATTAAACTGACAAGCAATTTAATAATACTATCTGTTATTTATTATTATTGTGTACATTATTTTAAGTTTCTAATACACACGTATAATATTAAATTCGGGTGGATGTTATTAAAACCTAATTCAAATATAATTAAGCATATTAAGCAAATATACGTTAAATTTGAAAATTAAACCACGCATGCTTTATTATTTCTATTTGAAATTTCATAGAAATCAAAGAAGCAGATATATTTCAATGTGTTTATCTTTGAATTACTATTTTAGAATTATTCACCATGAAAGCATTCTATCGAATATGACTACATATATTATACACAATATATATATATATATTTTGTGTGTGTGTGTGTGTGTGTGTGTGTGGTGTGTGTGCGTGTGCATGTGCGTGCGTGTGTGTGTGTGTGTGTGTGTAATTATTTTAATTATTTTGAATCACAGATGAGGTATTTACTAAAAATTTTTAGATGCTGAAAACGATACTGCAGGCCAAATTTCATCAGGTTTCAGAAATAATCGAGATTTAATGTGCAAAAAATGACTTGCAAGATAAAATTTTTTTGTAAAAAAGTTAATATTATCTTGAAATTTTGATCAGAAATGAATGTATTGTTTATCTCCTATAAAATGCATTTCTTTAAATTTTAATATTTTACTTTTTAATCATGTTATGAAGAATTTAAATACGTACAGGATTTTTCTAAGTAAGTTAGCAAATTTTTCGCTTATGATGATGAAGTTATACCTATATATGTACAATTTCTAGTTCGTAAATATCGATACGTATACACAGACTATACAAGTTCTGAAACATTTTTTTTTTTTACTTTTTTTGAGATATTCGAGGTGGGCAATTAAAAAATGAGACGGCCTGTACATGTGTGTTTACACGTACACAAATGTCTCGTTTTAATTGGTCTCCTCGAATATATTGAAAAAAATGCATTTTCAAAAAAATCAGACAAAAGTTGTATGACCTGTATGTATCGATAGTCACAAACTAGAAACTATAGGTACTCGTATATAAATAATAAATTATTTATTATTTATATTTACTTATATATGACTTTATCGTCATAGCCGGATTTGCTATTTTAGAAAATTCCTGTATTTAAATCTTTCATAACAAAGTAAAATATTGAAATAAAAAATGTGTTTTATAGAGAATGGACAAAACAGTCATAATTTTTTATTAGAATTTCAAGATTAACTTTTACTAACTTTAACTTTAAAAAATTCAAATATTGTAAAAAATCATTTTTTGCACATTAAAACTCATTATTTCAGAAATCTAACATGCTGATGAAATTTGGCTTACATTATTATTTTCAACATTCAGAAATCTGTAAGAGACACCTTATTTGGATCAAATTATTTTTTTTGCTGTAAATTAATATTATTCTCAGACGAGATTGATTCGATAAAACATCATTGTTTTTCATATCAGATAAACATTCAATCAACATGTTTGTACAGGCGGGAAATTGTATATAATCCTCATCATGAAAAGTTATTTTTTGTCAATTTGCATCTTATCATTTTACTATGATTAAAGCGTGTTAATTATTAAAATTAAATTAAATTAAGAGTATCCATGTGAAGCCAAAATTATTCGGACTTTCTTAGCGATTTTCGGAAACAATAAATAGTTCCGATAGTCAATAAACGACGTTCAGTTTGTGAATTGTAAAGTGGAGTCATGAAATTAATTTTTATATTTTAAAAGAATATTTTAATGATTTTAATGTTTTTAATGTTTTTAATTTTTTAATATTTTTTCATTACATATTCTTACATTAATATTAATGTTGTATTAGTATTATCTTAATTATCTTGATGATAAAAAAATCAATTGTAGATTTAACATGAATACGACGATTGCTTAGAAGCAATGCTTACACAAAATTTTGATTATTAAGTTAATATTCATAATTAGTTTGTCTATTTTTGGCAACTTTTTTACAAAGAAAATAATTCAGAACGAGTATATTTTAGTTTTTAATTTTTGGTTTCTTTTAAGAAACCATTTTTCTCTTTCCAGGTACCTGCTTAGGGATTCTGCCATTTCAGGATATGGATGTTATAATATTAATTATTAAGTAATATAAATTATTTTGATCTACGTATATCTATATGTTTTAAACTAAAATACATGCGTTGAAACTTTATTTGATAAAATGTTAGCTTTTATTGATTCAATAATTTTATAAAGAGAAAGCTTCATATATACTTATTCACTAAATATTTTTATTATTATATGAATATAATTTAATACATGCGAGTACTTAATAATTTCGAGACAAATCGAATAGGTACCTTGATATCAATGGAATACATTTCATATAGACTGTTTAAATTAATTTTAATATGTCAAAGTTAATGTTAGAAAAAGATAATTGATAAATTGTGTCCCTATTTAATTATAATGCCAATTATAACATTAATTTAATTGTAATTTTTTTAAAAATTCCATTGTTATCGGGTTCGATATGTCTCGAACAATTGGTACCCGATAATTATTATTGATAGGTACACGCATGTATGTGATAAGTTAGAATAAAAGCGCATGAATTTTATTATTAAATATACTCGTTCTTCTAACTATAATAAAAATAATAGAAATCGTTCTATCTATGTATTTTTTGAAAAAAAATTTTGTTTAATAATTGAAGATTTTTTTCGCGTAAATTTCTTGCAATAAATAATAGAAGTGCAATAAATAATGAATATTAAATAGATTATCACAAAGATATTCGAGATTCTATATTGTTTACAGAGATAAATAGTGATTGTCGTTCATTGACTATTGCGAAATCACTGCTTAGGAGGATCTGAGATTTGCTCTCTTCGTCGAAGTCCTTAATGTTTTACGGATCGTTTAACTTTTCTTCATGGATTAATTTTATCCAAGAGAACGAGGGCATTCAGTTCATTTTTTTTCTTGAAAATCTTGAGAATTCTTTTTTTGTTGATTACTATAATTAAACTAAATATTATTCGATGGAGGGTCTTGATTTGGCTAAATTGTTGGCTCAGTTATTTTCCATTGAATGCAACTCTAAAAATTGAACACTATTTTTGTCAGTTAACTTGTTACAAAAATTTTTCATAAGAAATATTAAAAAATTTTGCATAGAACTATTAAAATAATATATATATATATACACATATGTATACTTCTATGTGTTTCATCTCATATTGATTATTTTCGTTATCCAAGGAAAATTCACTATATATATATAGGATTTAAATGCGATTTGGATCTCATTGTTGAACTGGTCGTTTGAAGACAGGCTCGCGAGCCTTTAAATTACAGTAGAAGGAATGTTCTTCAATTCGATGGAATACTTGCATCTGGTGATTGATTTCTATCAAGCCATTCATTTAATAAATTAAATTACGCAAGCTGACAGCAAAATCAATCATAAGCTTTTGGTTAGTAATCAATTTCATATTGGCATGAAAATTAAA